TATATGACAAACTTACTGCCAGCATCATACTCAACAGGCAAAAACTACAAGTGTTTCCCTTAAGATTGGGAACAAGCCAGGAATGTCCACTTTCACCTCTCTTATTCAACCTAGTACTAGAAGTCCTAGCCACAGCAATCAGACAAGAAGAAGAAATAAAAGGCAAACAAACTGGAAAGGAAGAACTAAAATTGTCATTATTTGCAGATGATATGACACTGTACATAGAGAGCCCCAAATATTCCACTAAGAAACTACTTGAACTGATAAATGAATTTAGCAGAGTAGCAGTATACAAAGTTAACATCCAGAAATCAGTTTCATTTTTATATGTCAATAATGAACTCACAGAAAGGGAAATTAAGAAAACAATCCCATTCACAATTGCTACAAAAAAGATAAAATACTTAGGAATAAACCTAACCAATGATGTAAAAAGACCTGTACTTGGAAAATTATAAGACACTGAAGGAAGAAATTGAAGAAGATACAAATAAGTGGAAGCACATACTGTATTCATGAATAGGATGAATTAACACCATTAAAATGTCCATAGTACCCAAAGCAAGTTATAGATTCAATGCAATTCCTATCAAGATCATAATGACATATTTCACAGAACTAGAACAAATATTTCAAAAATTTATATGGAACCACAAAAGGCTCCACGTGGCAACAGTGATCCTGAGAAAGAAGAACAAAGTTGGAGGAATCACACTACCTAATATCAAACTATTTGACAAGGCCATAGTCATCAAAACTGCTCTGCACTGGAATAAAAATGAATAGATTAATGAAATTGAAAAGAGAGCCCAGAAGTATACCCAGACCTTTATAGTCAATCAATGTTTGACAGAGGAAGCAGGTATATGCTATAAGCTAAGTCAGTTTATTCAATAAATGGTGTTGAGAAAATTGGACAGATACATGCAGAAAAATGAAACCAAACCACCCTATTAGAATAAATTCAAAATGGATCAAAGACTTATATGTTAGACCTGAAACCATAAAAATCGTAGAAGAAAACATAGGCAGCAAAATCTTGACTATTGCCCATAGAAATTTTTTATCAGAAATATCTCCCCAAGAAAGGAAAACAATAGAAAAAATAAACAAATGGGACTACATCAAACTAAAAAGGTTTTGCACAGCAAAGGAAATCGTCAACAAAATCAAAAGAAAACCCAAGGAATGGGAGAATGTATTCACTGATACGTTTGATAAGTGGTTAATATCTAAAGTTTATAAAGTAATTACAAAACTCAACATCAAAAAAACAAATGACCCAATAAAAATGTGGGCAAAGGACCCAAACAGACATTCCTCCAAAGAGGAGAACAGGTGGCCCGCAGACATATGAAAAGATGCTCAACGTCACTAATCATCAGAGATGCAAATTAAAACCACAATGCGATACCATCATCAATAAATCCACAAACAACAAGTGCTGGTGAGGATGTGGGGAAAGGGGGACCCTCATGCACTGTGGGTGGGAAGCAGACCGGTGCAGTCACTGTGGGAAGCTATATAAAGTTACTTCAAAAAATTGAAAATGAATCTACCTTTTGACCCAGCGATCCCACTTCTGGGAGTATATCTGAAGGAGCCCAAAACACTAATTCAAAAGAACGTAAGCACCCCTACGTTCACTGCAGTGTTCTTTACAATTGCCAAGATGTGGAATCAGCCCAAGTGTCCATCAGTAGATGAGTGGATAAAACAACTATGGGATATTTACACAATGAAATTGTACTCAGCAGTAAAAAGAAGAAAATTTTACCCTTTGTGACAGCACGGATGTACCTGGAGAACATGATGCTGAGTGAAATAAGCCAGTCAGAGAAAGACAAAGACCATATGATTTCACTTACATGTGGAATCTAATGAACACACTGAACTAACAGGCAGAACAGAGACAGACTCATAGATGGAGAGCAGATGACAGCCATGGGGGGGGGGACGTACGGGGGAGGAGGGACTGAGCAAGAAGAAAAAACAACTCACGGATGCGAACCACAGTGTGGTGATCGCTGTGGGGAGGGGGCATACCGGGACTGAATGGTAATGGGAAGAAATACAATAAAGATTAAAATTTTTAAAGCAGTCTAAGATAACAAGACAATGGCATCCATCTGTTAAACAACAGACTAAAATGACACTTCATTTTTCTTTAGCAGGCAGAATGTCTGAGACTGAATATTCAGTACTAATAACATCAATAAAAGAAGCAGGAAAGGGGGAGGGAGGGGAGACAGACACGTACAACCACTCCCTGATTCCCTGTCTTGCCTCGATCATTAGGTAACTGCCTGGAGGAAGGAGAAGCCATCATTTCTCAGATGTTGCTTTGCAGTTGAAATCCCAGTAAAAATGTGCATCCTTGGGTCCTGTATCCATCTCTAAACCATGATCTTTACCGTAACATACTCTTTAATTGGCCTGCTTCCGTCTCTCGGGTTACTCTCCCGGCTGACTCAACGCCGGCCCCATGCCCACGCGGAGTCAGCTCTCTACCTTTGAATTGCTTTTCTTTCTCATGAGGTTCACTTTGAAGCACTTGACATTCCTGTGAAACTGTCGCTTGGTTTCACAGACCAGGTGGGTGTATCCGATGCACTCCGCACTGTGAGGAGAAGCCCTTTATCATTTTGACTTCCGAGCCAAGTGTTCGGGGCATGAAGGTTAGAAAACTCGCCCTTCCAGCAGCGGCCGCCGGGAGCGGGTTGCCAGGGCGGCACAGCTGCTCTGCACGCTCCTCTGGTGGTGGTGACATGCCCTCGAACGTCTGCCCACAGCGCAGTGTCCGCGCCTACGGCGAGCCCCAGGGTGCGCTGTGGGCGCTGGGCGAGGAGGGTGCCCCGGCGCAGATGCCCCGGAGGTAACAAACGGACCGGCTGGTGCAAGACGCTCATAACGCGGGGAAGCCTGCAGACGCTGGTGGGGGCGGGGGGAGTGGGATGGGTACACGGAAACCCCTGTCCCTCCCAAATTTGCTATGTAAAAGTCTTTTAAAAAATAAATACATAAGCTCCGTGCCATGAAGGTTTTTTTTTTTTGTTGTTCTTTAAAAGGGAAATCGAGATTTTGCTGGATCTGAACTAATCTCATGAAAGTTGACCTGCGCCGCTGGAGGCGGCCCGTCCACTCTGCAAATGGCAGCATCTGTCCCAGGCAGACCTCAGGGAGCCCAGGTGGGCAGGTCAGCGTGTCGGTCCCCCACTCCCCGGCCAGCTCACACCCCGGCCGTCCAGCCTTTCACCGAGGACCTCTCCGTACTGTCCCCACCCACAGACACCTGTCGTCTGTCCAGCTTCAGGCTGAAACGGCCTCATGGGAGAAACTCATTCCAGCTGCTGCCGCTTCCCCAAGGAGAAGGCTGTGCGCTGTGGGCAGAGTCCCGGTCACCCTGTGGTGACCGTCACTGAGCCGCCTCCTCCACAGCCCAGCATTCCCACGGAGAACTCTCTACCAGTTCCACTGGCAAAGCTGAACCCTGGGCCCCCAGTAGACCCCAGAGTCACGGAAGTTCATGCAATGGACACCCCTGGCTGTACAAAACCAAGCACCAGTTCCGGAAATGACTGCATAACCGTATATCTACGCGGGCATCTCTTTTTCAGCTTTAGACATCAATTAACGTTAGACATGTAAGTGCTGAATGACTGTGTGGAAAACAAAACTCCAGAACAGGAAACGAGGAAACTAAGCGCAATTACTCTCTTTATGCAAACAACTGCGTGGCCACTTACCAGGGAAGGGGTCGCCACTGCCGTGTGAGCGAACTCTCATTCATGCACCTCTTGGCTGGTGCCCAGTCCGTGGGGGACGCGGGGCATTTCTATAATGAGTAACTTGTAAACACAACTTTACCGCTGCAGGGGACCTTTCAGGGGGTCCACCCTGGGGACCATGGGCCGCACGCAGCCCAGGATGGCTGTGAATGCGGCCTAACACCAAATCGTACATTTACCTAAAACATAAGGTTTTTTTTATTAGCGTCACAATGTATTTAATGTGTGGCCCCAGACAGCTCTTCTTCTTCCAGTGTGGCCCAGAAATGCCAAAAGGTTGGACACCCCTAGATAGGGTACCATCAGAGAAAGCATGAACACTTGTAATACATGACAATGACAAGAAGTAACTGGCTACCAATTTTCAGGGAGTATTTCCACCCACGGAAGGTCTCAATGGAAGGACAGCATGTGTGTGAGCATGTTGGCAGTTACCACCCTTGGCCTTGCCGGACCCCCAAACCCAGGCGCAGGGAGCAGCAGGGGGGCAGCCAGAAGGCCCCGGACTGCAGGGGCTCCAGCCGGGGGTCTGCCAAGGCGCGTGCCTGTGGGGGACACAGCCCCAGGCCCCACCTGCACAGAGAGTCCCCGCACACCAGCCCTTCCCTAACAGCTAAGCGCTCACAGGCGGCCCCATCTGCATTTTAAACAGTTACCTCTGGAGCTCCCTTCACTTACAGGTCTGTGAAAATACACTGCTTGGGGAAGTCGTATATTTTATCCCATAGTTTCTCCTGGGGGGGGGGGGAGAAAACAGGCCCCTTATTTACCTTCAGAGTTCAAACCACAGAGAGGCGTGAGCTGTGTAGGCTCAGATCCTTTTCCAAGAAACACTAAAAGGAAGGGCTTTTGGATCTTGAAAAATTAAACTAAGAGTCCAAAAGCTGTCTGTCATACCAATGCCTAACACCAGCGAGGTCAAAGGTTGTGCACAGTCGCACAAACGCACGCCATCTCCTCTGCAGACCTGCGCGCAGTGGTGAGCGGCGTAGAGCAGGGGCCAGGACCGCTGCAGTCATTACAGGGGCATCTCACTGACCCAGCCACAGGCTCAACCTTGACCTTCACCATCACCAACACTGCAACCACCAGCAAAAGCTACCACTGAGTGTCAACCGGCTCAATAAACCACCAACAGAAACTCAGAACAAGAATGCAAGCAAGAAGTGAATTGATGTCCATCGGATCAGGAAAATAATCATTTCTTACCATGTTTATAGATGACACGGGACCAATGCTGTTAACATAGATGTCGACATCGATGACGGTCGGTTTGACTGTGGAGAAAAACACACGTGTGTTAGAACATTGTGCCCGAGAGACCAGGGGAAGCAGCAGCAGCTCCGGGATCTGCTGCAAAGGGCTGGCTTTTCTAGGGGCTTGTGGTGCAGCAGCCATTCACACCCTGCCCATCGTATTTCGAAGTTCTCTGAGGAGGAGAGATTCTTACTTGTACTTACCGAGTTCTAGGAGAACAGGACACTGATTTGAGAAAGGGCTAAAAAGATATTCTGTGACACGTGTTATGTTGACTGCATGGCCAAGAAAACATAAAAAGAAAAAATATAAGACATTGTGTAAGTAATTTAAAGTCGGCACTTTGCTCTACTATGCGGATGGCTCAGGTATTTATCCATCACCAGGATGCCTCCCTGTCCTTCCAAAACAAAGCCTCGCAGAGCAAAGATCGTGAGAACACATACAGCAAAGGAGAATAAGAAACCTTATTATTATCGTGGAAACTTTAAGACACATACACACATATCACAAGCTCAGAAAGAAATCCTGTAACAGACTCAGAAAAACCTGTCACTCAGAAAAGAATAACACTTAGTAAAGTGAAGGAATTATGGGTTCCACAATGAGGGCATAACATTTATATGAGAGGAAGTTGTAATATTTAACGTTGTGCATCAGAGGCAAATTGTTTGTTTTTTAAGATTTTATTTACTTATTTTTAGAGAGGGGAAGGGAGGGAGAAAGAGAGGCGGAGAAACATCAGTGTGTGGTTGCCTCTCGTGCGCCCCCTACTGGGGACCTGGCCCACACCCCAGACCTTGTGGCCTGACTGGGAATGGAACAGGCATCTCTTTGGTTCTCAGGCTGGTGCTCCATTCACTGAGCCACACCAGCCAGGGCACAAATTGGTTCACTCAGCCTTAAGGAAAACCGGTTTCTCTTCCCTTGGCCGCAGGAGAACTTGGGAGACCAGTGAAGAGACCACTGAGATACAGACGCCTGAGTCATTTCTCAGCACTCAGCAACTGATCACGAGGAAGAGAGCACTGATTTCAGAATATTCCAGCCCAGGAGAAACACGGACAAGACTCTTGAACCTTTGCACATGAAGTGGGTTGTTTTTACGAAAACAAGAGCGATTATATCTGCAATTATTCTGATGAGCTCCCTTCGGTTTTGCTAAATCACCATCATTTGCAGGTGAACTTCTGAACCCTCCTTCTGGAGCCCCGGGGGGGACCCTTCTGAGCACAACGTCTCTTGTTAAATTTCGCACCCTGCAGTCAGTAGCTGAGCCGTGCTTTCGAGACCTCCCTGAAAATGGAGAGGTGATTATGAACTTGAGCCAACTACTTCATGCCCATCAGTACGACTAAGTCGTGTTAGCTTCAAAGAGCTCTTGGCATTTTGGAAAACACCGCAACAATTCTATGCACAATGTATAGAATGATTGCTGCTAACTACTATGAATAGTAAGCAGCATCTTTCCTCAATTAACTGGATTCAGCAAGTGCTCTGTTTCCAAATGGTGCCCAGCCTTTGGTGGTGCCCTATGAAAGCTGTGAGTCAGTCAGTTGAGGGTCTGCTTTGTGCACGAGATTTTTCTGGTGGCTTCATTATCAGACTCTGAGTTTCCAGAGCTTTTAATCTTATTAAATAAAAAGGACCTGCAGACATTAAGCCTTAACAACCTGAAGTGGGAAGTGCCAAATGAGTACTAACTGCAACAGTGCAGAAAAGGTTTTTAAGAGACAAGAGTTTGGAACATACGAGCATACAGAAAACTGAGGGGAAATGAACTAGTGGGTTGGCCAGAAAGTCTGTTTAGGTTTTTTTTTTTTTCTGTAAAATAAAAGACACATTTTTTTCACCAATAACTTTCTTGATTTGGATATTTTGAGTATGTCAGCTATCTCCTACGTGGTATAACATTGATTGGTTTCACTTAAAGTCTCGATTTGATCGCCGTCAACTTCAACTGGTCTACCCAACCATGAAGCATTGTCCAGTGGAAAACCTTGAGCATGAAATTGACAAACCACTTTTGACAGGTTCGATCAGTCACATCACCTTCTCCACACATTGCACAAAACTTTTTTTGCATTTCAGCTGCATTTTTACCTTTCTTGAAATAATAAAGGATAATATGCTGAAAATATTGCTTATTTTCCTCCATTTTCAATAATAAAGTGGCTACACAAAAATTCACCAATTTTGATGTTTTTTAAAAAAATACATGCTGCTATGACAGCTGTCACAATACAATCTAACAAAATTGTTTCAAATGAAGTTAAAGACAGCTAAGTGCTACTAGAGGCATCTTATGGGAAAAAAACCAAATGAACTTTCTGGCCAACCCAATATTTTAAGCCAATGCTTGGTGGTTACTTTTTTGGCCATGGACCCCCAAAGGTGGCACATAGTAGGTACTCACTGAACATTCACAAGTGTCACTCCTAACAACAGTGGTTTTAATTTCTTATATTGACTTGGACTTGTGTACGTGAGACTGTAACCTGCAACGGGAAGAGGAGTAATTTTAAAGTGTGCCCTGACCTTGGTGACCACTATGGGCAACCCCAAATAATCGAGTGAGCAAAAGAGAGGGGAAGGGAGAGAGAGAGAGAGAGATAAACGTCAATGTGTGGTTGCCTCTCGCACACCCCCTACTGGGGACCTGGTCCACAAACAACCCAGGCATGTGCCCTGACTGGGAATCATACTGGCGACCCTTTGGTTCAAAGGCTGGCATTGAATCCACTGAGCCACACCAGCCAGAGCTAAATGTATTAAATATCTTAACATAAGATTTAGAACTTTAAGACTCCAGGAAAACTCCTAAAACTATTGGGGAAAGTTTCAAGACATTGGATTTGGCAATGATTCCTTGGATATGATGTCAGATGCCCAGGCAAACAAAGGCAAAGGTAGAGGAATGGGAGTAAAAACTGCTATGCATTCCCCAGCCAGACGTGGATGCAACCTGAATTTCCTTCGGTTATGAGCAGATCCAGAAATTGTGTCCTGTGCGCACAATGGAACATACCCTGACCTTGGACAAGAGGGGAGTTCTGTCGCATGCTATCAGCATGGGTGAAACCTGATGGCTTATTCCAAGTACAGCCAGTCATGAAAGGACAAATACTGCTATTCCACAAACTTATTTACAGTAGTTAAAGGGCCCGCTGTGAGATCCTATGATGTTATTACCATTGATTAAGCCTACATAGTACAAACATTTTTCACTGAGTTATTTCAAATTTCTTTTACTTGCAAATCTACTTTGCAACTGCACTGTCTACCATTTTAAATTAATGGGTTTTATTAATACTCAGCATTAACAGCCTCCTTTTTAAGAGTAAACAATCAGTCCTGTTCCTGCCTTCTCACTTCCTCTTCCTTCACTCAGCAGATACTCAGTGGGTGCTCACTGAGCTAGACGGAGTTTAGGACCTGAGACCAGGCTGTAATCAAGACATAAAGCGTCTCCTTTCATAGGGTTTATTTAAACCGCAGTGGGTTAAACACATGTGAAACAAGTAATTATTTGATATTTGCTGGGGTCCAGACTCGGCAGGTCTCAGGGTCCCTGAAGGATGGACAGTGCAGGCGATGAATGAAGAATCAGACACCTGATTGGATGCCAGAGAACAGCCAGCCTCTGTGGGTCTGACCGAACTTGCAGAGTTTGATTTAGACTTTATTTTTATAGAGATTATTACATAACACTGAAGGAACAGGTGCATGGTGTGATCAGTTAAGCAGAAAAAACCAATACAGAGGTAACCAGGAAAAGTACTAGAATTTCCATAGATTCAGTTATGTTAGACAAAGGTTATTTTGACCAGGAGAGCCATTAATCAGACAGTTTGAAATAGCTGTATGTACAGAGTTTTAAATGTCTTATTGTTTATTAAAGTTCTTAGAATTTGGCATGGGGCAAAAGGGTACGCTAGACGGAACAGTGGTTATAGGGAATTTATTATAAGGCCTTTGTGGTGTTTAATTTAGCTATCTATCTTTCTGTCTAAAATATTTCTTTATGTACTATGGACTCTGACTCCTTGGTAATTGTTTGTACATGCTTAGCTTGTAACAGCTAACCAGCTTCTCCTGCTTCTTTGCCTGTCTAATTCCATTAATGTATATTCCTGTCCAAGGTAGAGGAGGGGCTGTTACTCCATCAACTTCTAGATATTCAGGGGCTACTTCATTAGGGGGGACTTTGCTCTCTGGACAAGAAATTATATTGTATAACTTCATTGGAGTTATGTGGATCATTGGACCTGAAACAAAGGTGTCTAAAAATCCCACCACCTGTCAATCATAAAGACAGACATGCAGGGAGAGATAGACAGGAAATCCAGCCACAGTTGCCTCTGCTGTGCAGATGCATCTCACCCGTCCCAACTGTGTCAAGGGGCGGCTGTTGGTCGGCTCCCGACAGGTATTCCTACAGTGATGAGTAGCATGAAGGGAATAAATCTAGGCACTGAGATCCCGTAAATTTGGTGCATGGTGGGAGCTTACCTTCGATACAGTGGTTCCGGCCCCATAACCATTGTGGCCCTATATAAACCTAGGTGGTTAATATGGCCTTGAAGTCCCACAAGGAGATTTAGTAGGAAGAAATAAAATTAATCATAAAATAGTCAAGGATTTTTCAAAACGGATGGAAGATATCAAATCACAAACAAAGCTATTTATCAAACTCCAACAATTATAAAGAAAACGATTCCTAGGCGTGGCACTATCCAACTGCTAAGTAGTAAGTAAAGAAAAGCCATTAAGAGCACGTCAAATAAAGGTCTAGTATAGAAGGAAAGAAAACCATGGCTGGCACAGCACGAGAAATACTAGAGGCCAGGAAACAACAGTGCAAGATCTTTTAAAGTGTTGAAGGGAAAAAACCGGTATAATTCCACATGTGGAATCACGTTCTTTGGGAATGAAGGAGAAATACACACACCTCCAGCCAGACACACTCTGACTTCGTCTGCAGCCGACCTGCACTGTAAGAAACGGTGAAAGGAGTTCG